CTTCTGTGGGGAGTTCCTTGTTCTATGTGAATGGGATCTCATGCTGCAGCTGAAAAATCTAGAACTGGTAAGTGCTCAGATCAATCAAATTACATGATTATTTTCCTCACACACACACCGCCACACAAACAGGGTTTTCTAGGGTCTGGTCCAAAATACTCAGCCTCTCCTTTCTTTTTCACCAATCTAGGGGGAAGAACAAAACAAGTTCTTGGGGGAAGAACAAAACAAAAATGTAACACGTTAACTCACCAGATTGCCCTGTGCCTTTAAAAGGTAGTGGGAGACAATGCCCTGAGGAAAAGCTGAATCATTCCATCTTGTCACATTCTTAAGAATCCTGGCGGCTTTGTTCTTGGTTAAGGCTGGAACCATGTGGGTGGCCAGCCTTCTCTTTCCCCTCAGGGAATGTATGGAGTAGTTCACTCCTGCAGAACAGGATCATCCTTAGTGTTGTGTTCAGTGACTGCTGAATCAATCTTCAGAAAGGTGCTTTAGTAATACCATTATTAAGTAGTATCTTTTCCAGATTATACCTGAAGCTACATAGCAGTTCAGAAATTGGGGCTGCTGCTTTTAGCCATATGCAACACTGCGAGGGGGCTCCAAGAGAAGTGGAGTTACTTAAAGCGAAGTGAGTACTATTCTTCCACCTTTGCATCTTCTTTCAGGTTTCCCTCCTGTGCCATTTGCACACTGCTATTCCAGTTCCAGGGGGCTGCGGTGGCTCAAGTGGTTAAGACACTAAACTGCAGACCTGAAGGTCGGTAGTTCGGCAGTTCGAGACCCGAGAGCTGCATGACGAAATGAGCTCCCATCTCTGCTCCCATCTCCTGCCAGCCTAGCAGTTCGAAAGCAAGAAATTGCAAGTAGATAAATAGGTACCACTTCGGTGGGAAGGGAACAGCATTCTGTATGCCTCGGTGTTAAGTCGTGCTGACCACATGACCATGGAAATGTCTTTGGACAGCGTTGGCTCTTTGGAATCCTAGAGTCAGATTCGACTGGCTTTCGAGCAAGGGAAACCTTTACCTTTACAATTCCAATTCCAATAACCTTTATTAGCATAACAATAACTTTAAAAAGAAAAGATAACAGTACAAATCAGCCTATATGCCAACAAAGAGGAACAATCAGAGTACAGCAATTTGTAATATCGTTGTTGTTGTTCAGTCACACAGTCGAGTCCGACTCCTCACGACCCCATGGACCACATCACTCCAGGCCCTCCTGTCTTCCATCGTGCCTCGGAGTTTGCTTAATTTCATGTTCCTTACCTCAATAACACTGTCTAACCATCTCCTCCTTTGCCGTCCCCTTCTTCTTTGACCTTCAATCTTTCCCAGCATCAGGGTCTTCTCCAGTGAGTGCTCCCTTCTCATTTGGTGGCCAAAGTATTTGAGCTTCAGCTTCAGTATCTGGCATTCCAGAGAACAGTCAGGGTTGATTTCTTTTAGGATTGACATGGGGCACAACGGCCAACAAGGACAAGATGTCAGTCTCCTCTGACACTTCCTTCTTGGCTAGGTCTAAATTAGTCTGTCTCTCCTCCTTTCCCTAGGCTTGACGTCTCTTTGATCATCTTCTGGTGGCACCAGGAGACTGGTACTTAGTATAGTATCTGAAATGTACTATGGACCTTAAATTCATATGGAATAAGAAATAATATTTCTCAGCTAGTGCACAAATGTAATTGTGACATGGGTGGAAGCAATTTTACTACTCTACATAGTTATTCTGTTCTGGCATTGAAGGAGGAGGAGGAGGAGCTTCTGCACGTTCTCAATATGGTGGAGCTTGAAGCCTGGTGCCTCTGATATCACCCTTAAGCCTCCAGAACAGTTTTGTCACTTTGTTTTCAATGTTTGTGATTTATTTTTCTTTCTGTGGAGCAAAAGATAAATGCAGATGTACATTTTTTTAAGCCAAGCTGTACCTGCTTTTAATTTTTTTGATATTTTTTACATTTGTGTTTCTGTGCCCATGCCTAAAAGTCATGGTGACCTCTGGCTGTTCCTTCTGGGGTACGAAGAACATTCAGAGAAGTGGCTTTATAGCCTGCCTCTGGCTTCCCATCCCTGGTATTCTCTGGAGGTCTCCCATCCAAATACTTGCCAGGTTTGGCCCTGCTTCGTTTCTGAGATCTGATGAGATCAAACTTCCTGGACTATCTGGGTTGGGGCAGCTGTACCTGCTTTTTAAGTGACATGTCTGTTTTTACCATAGTAATTTTGCAAAGCTTAGGCCGTACTATGACTGCATCTATAGCATAGTAGGCTATTTGTGGGAAGGCCTGCAGCTGGGGGGGACAGAAACTGGTACATGGAGTGCAAAGAACTGAATAAGATGGCACTTGTGCCTCATTTCCTGACAGTATGGGAGGGGAGGTAAGGAAGATGTAAGGAAAAGGGAAAAGGAGGAAGTTGGTCTAGTTTGAGATCATCACTGTCCTTGGCCATAGGCCTGACGGACAATCTCAGTTTTACAGGCCTTGAGGAACCATGTCAGGTCCTGGACGTGGCTCGGTAGAGAGTTCCACCAGGTTGGACCCAGGGCTGAAAAAGCCTTGGCGCTGGTTGAAGACAGCCAAACACTCTTTGCGCCAGGGATCACCAGCAGGTTTTTGTCAGCTGAGCACAATGATCTTTTTGGGGGGCGGGGGTGTAACACCAGTAATAGTTTGTTCAACAGTAATAGTGCATTATACCATTTACACCTGAGAGGTGGATAGGATTTACTATCTTTAAATGGCTAGAAAATCACTGTAGTGCAAAAGAAAGCGGATGCTTATGGTTTGCTTGTTTTTGCCATCAAGTCACAGCTAACTTATGGCAATCCCGTGTGGTTTTCAAGGCAAGAGACATTCAAAGGTGGTTTGCTATTTTGCCTGCCTCTGCCTTGCAACCCTGATATTCCTTGGTGGTCTAACCATCCAAATACTAACCAGGACCGACCCTGCTTCGTTTCATGAGGTCTGATGAGATCAGGCAAGTGTGGGCTATCCAGGTTCATACCATCTCCCTTATAAATAAAAGCCAAATGGTGGTGACACTTCTTTAGAACATTCCACACGCTCCAAAATCAGTTCGCTCTCTGATCTGTCATTCAAAGGGTCTCCCTATCCATTGGCTGCTTTGCCTGAGTCCTGCCTCCAACATTCTAAACATTTTGCAGTTCCTCTCCCCCCCATAGCCAGTCAAAACACAGAGGTTATTTGCATATACAGCCTCATTGGTCTTTGCCTCGGAACACAGAGATCGTTTGCATATGCGACTTGATTGGCTTTTGCCTCTAACATTCTAAACAGTTTTGCTGTTCTGAGGTAAAATGTGTCCAATCTCCAGGTGAGGACTGGAGATCCCTCAGAATTACAACTGTTTTCCAGATGGCAGAGATCAGTTTCCCTGGAGAAAATGGTGGGCTCTGTATCCTTATATGCTGCTGAGGTGGCCCCCATATGACAGCCAATGTGACGTAGCAGTCAGGGCTTCAGAGCACGGGAGAGGCTGCAGGTGTGTGGGGGGCGGAAAGCTGAAGAGTGAGAGGGAAATAAAGGTAGGTTGATGATTGACTGGGAAGAAGATAGGGTTGCCAACTTCAGGTAGGAAATTCCTGGAGATGTGAGGGATGGAGCCTGGAGAGGGTGAGGTTTCAGGAGGTGTGGGGCCTCGGACAGGTACAAAGCCATAGACTCCACCCTCCAAACCAACTATTCCCTTCTGGGGAACCATCGTTGCCAATCTCCAGGTGAGGGCTGGAGATCATTCAAAATTACAACTGTTCTTTAGGTAGCAGAGATCAGTTCCTCTGGAGAAAATGGTGGACTCAGTGTCATTATACCCTGCTGAGGTCGCCACAGCAAATTGACACTGAGTGTCCAAGGCCGGGGTACCCGCCCAGAGCCTCTTTCTAGAGGCCATCGTATTTATTTCCACAACGGCCCTTTTTCCTAGTTTAGTAATAAAGCTAATCAAAGGGGGGGGGGCATTGTTCTGGCAGTTCAGCTTGCTGCAGCTGACAACTAAAAACCACCAAACCCTGTTATGTTAAAGTTGTACAGTGGAAGATGTGCAGCTGTCAGATCTCTTTTTAAGGTACAAAATGATGTGAATATGCGGTTGTGGGGGTTGTGCTGCTTGTCCTCAGCTATGACAGAAAGGATATCCAGTAGGCACCCATTACAGTTCCTTTAGCTGTATCTCACAGAACAAACATGACCACAATGAACGTGCTGTTTGGAAGCAGTGTGGCTGCAGTTTCCAGGGCACTGATGAGGAGAGCATGGAAAGCCCACCAGCACCCAAAGGGCAGCTTACGGAGCAGTGGGAAGGGACTGATCTCCAGCAGTGGATGGGTGGCTAGTGCTACTGCTGGAAAGGGACGTGTAAACAGAGCTACCTGGACACCTTCACAAATCAGAACAGGATGGCTGAAGAAATCGCTGCACTGAGGTGGGGGGGGGCACAAGGAAGGTGGGGACACCATTTTGATATATATTTTATCTAGCTGTCAAACACCTTTGAACTCATCTTTTCATTCCAGTGGCTTTCCAAGGCAGGTTACAACACAGTTTAAAAACAATAAAATCCACACGGTGAATAATATAAAGTCTAAAAATAGCACGAGTATCTTTCAGACTTTAAAAAGCCAGCAGTCTTAAGCATGTTAGGACAGTTTAAATCTCTTTTAATGTAACCAGTACCACAACATCCCCCCCCCTCCCCCGGCCAAGGGTCAAGAATGCTTTGCACTGGGTCACTGTTGTCCAAATGTTATAGATTAGGATCTGAGGAATTTTGTTACAGCAGGGAAAACGCACATATCACAGCGGCAAAACACGAACACGTTTAGCCTCGCAGCTTCCTAGCGCGTCCTTAAAAGAGCGACGAGGGCGGGAAGATTCTTCCCAACTAGAGTTAACTCCGCCTCCTGGTTAATTCACCTTCCTTACAAGGCTACAGTCAGGAGCTTCCCTCCCTCTCAAAAGGAGCAGAGCTACATCTGACAAGTCGAGAGCTCTGTGCAGACGGCAAGAAGAGTGGCACACACACAAAAAAGACTCCTTAGAGGAACTTGGTGCCATGTACCTTTAAGAGCTGAGGATGGAAACTGAGAACCCTTTTAGTCTTTGCATAGTGTAGGTCCAGGAGACGGGGAAGAGGGGAAAAGAAACTATCAGATAAACTTGGGGGTGGAAATGCATTGGAAAGGTAAATGACAATTTGCTGATTTGTTTCCCTGGAATATGTTTAGGACAGACTGGATGAGATGGCCGTCCACCATCCCTAGTGCCTTGACACTGATGTAGGTACATCCTATCGTTTCTGTTCCTGCTAAAATCAGATTCAGTTAGCTGAGACTTGGAATAATGTTTCTGCTCCAAAATTTAGGTACCTGTTTCTCTGTATGTCTGTGTTCATCTTTTCTTGAAATAATACGGATATGATTGTGCTGCTTGCCCTGTAGAAATGGAAAGCTTTTTTCTGGAATTAGTACAGCTAGAAAATAAGCTTTTAAAAACGACGAATGTCTTGTCCATGTGATATATTTTTCTGCAGAGGCATTGGGTAAGTTCTCAGGCTCTTTTCTGACCTGTCTCAACATGAAGACATGCTGATTTAGACTTCAGTTCATCCAGTTCAGTGTTGTCTGTGGTGGCTTTCCAGGATGTCAGGCAAAGGGTCCTTTTGTGTCCTTTAACTGGGAATACCAAGAGCTGAACCTTGGGAATTTGTGCATACAAAGTGTACGATCTTACTAAGCTTGGTTACTCTTGTCTTCTTGTTATACATCGGAACCATAGATCTATTAAAATGTTTATTCTTTGAGGATTTTGGGGGGTGTTTAAAATCATGCCTTGGCGCTAAGAGAATGGGCATTGCTGAACTTTTAAAAAATTGCCTAGCAGTGCAGTCCTAAGCAAGGTGATTCCCTTCTAAATCTATGGGCTTAGAGAGGCATATCTGTGCCTAGAATTGTGCTGTGAGACACTTCTGCTCTGGCTCTGTCTTCTTATTTTAGATGAAGTTCATGGATTAAATATTAATTTTGCACCATGCATAAAAGCAGAATGATGGCTCGCTTGATACCTCCTACTCTAATGAGAAGGTACGCAGACAGCATGTTTTGATTCTTGACTTCAGAAGAATGCATTTGTACAAGTCTGATTCTTTATCAGCAAACCTGTAGCTTTTCACAGGAGTCACCAAACCTGTAGAACTTCGGTTTTTGGGGTTGTGTGTTGTTTTCTTCTTTTTTTGCAAGGAATAATGAATCTGTTTCTGGCATGAATTAATGTTAACTCTGCTGAAGTCAAAAGAATGTGTGAAGTGGCTCAGGCTTGTTACTAATTTATTTCCTCTTTAATGCATAGATTTCTCAACATTTGTGTCAACCAGGTAGTTCAAAAGAATATTTGTTGCAAAGGCTGCAGTGTGGCAGGATCACATTGAATCGTTCTCCTAAGCAAGAGCTATAGATTCCTTTTGAGGCACCCCACTGGCGAATTCCTCATGACGGCTCCACCCTGCATATTTGGGACTAGTTGATGAAGATGGAGGTATTGCGCCGCTCTTCTGTCTTTGCTGCAGAGGTGATGGATGTGTTCGATCGATCTCCCACTGACAAGGAGCTTGTATCTCAGGCCAAGGTGCTCTGCAGAGACTACATTCACTCCAGGCTGATTCGGGCTGGAATTGGCTGGAACAAGCCTGAATACGGTGCACCTGCTCCTGGTGGCAAGTTAGCAGAGGTGTCAGCCATACTCCTGAGATTAGGTAAGTGCAGCAACTGTAAGTGTCAATCTGAGGGTGGCCATTTAGGAATCCGAGAGCTTCTGGGTGGATCAGAGGAAATGTTATGTAGTGAAGAGCTCGGCAAGAGATGGAGAAGTGCTGGGGTAATCTTACTGATTTCTGTCAGTGCATCCAAAGGAATGGTACTTGGTCATCTTGAGGTCACAGAGCTTTTAGGAAGCTGAGAACAAGGTGTGTGCTCCACTGAGGCTTTTGGAATTCCCAGTTGCCCATTTGTGCTTGAGAAGAGAGCTTGATTACCCTTTTTTAAATATTAAAGGAAGTAGAAGTTGACTGGAGACAGGCAGTATTATTTTTTTAGCATGGTAAAGGTGGTCTGATTGCCTGTGATGTGAACTCTCTTTGCAATCCAATAGCATCATGGACAGATTTGCAAGTTTTCCTCGTTGTGCAAAGACTTGCAAAAATTTAACCAGAAAACACAGGACAGCAAATGAAATGTAGTGCATACACCACAATCTTCAATACTCTGCAAAATGTTCTTTGCTTCCAACCCAGATGCATTTAAAATATGGTTCTCTTGGGCTGGAACGCTGCCATTAGCCCTCTAGGCTGACCATAATAATAGGTTAAAAGATTTTGAAAGACAGAGAGAGGTAAGTGTTACATTTGTTTTCCTAACAGTGAATGTTGATTTCCAGTGTCCCTTGACTAGAACAGAGTGAGAAGGAGAGATCTTGAATTGTACAGCTGCCAGTTCAGTTGTGTGCATTTAGGGGCAGTTGTAATAGATGCATTTTGAGAACAAAAAGCTGCTAGCAGTCTGCTATTGTTTGCCTTGAGTATGTCTTTGTCTAGCTTGGGCTCTGCTGTCATCAGTGACAGTCTTGTCAATATGTAAATACCACTGGCAAGAAGTAACAGTCATGTGGGTTTCAAGAAATATAGGAATTTGTCCTACAGTGCTGCTTATTCCTGTTTTCTGTCACCACAAATAGTATAGTGCTCTATGCTTATGGCATTTACTAATAGAACTGAAGAAGTTACATTTAGTTCTTCTACATGCTTCGTTCTTAGCATGTTGAGCCTGCAGAGAGGAACAATACAGTGCCATGAGGGTTTGTGTGACTATATCCATCTCAACTAGAACTTGTAAAACAACAACAACAAATATTTGTTAAATATAAAATGATGAACATCGTAAGAGCCTCTCAGTCATGCAGTTTCTGACCTGCTCATATATGAACTTGCTGAGTCAAGACCTCTGGTCCATTAGTCCAATACTGTTGACCCTGACTGGCAGTGACTCTTAAGGGTCTCCGATTGGAAAAGTCTTTCCAAGACCTGCTACTTGAGAGCCTTTCACTGGAGATGGTGGGGACTGAACCTGGAACTTCTTATGTGCAAACATATGCTCTTCAGCTGTCAGTCTCTCCTTTCATCTAAAGCAGTAGAAAAGAGCACGAGTCCAGTAGTACTACCTTAAAGACTAACCAAATTTGTGGCAGGGTATGAGCATTCATGAGTCACTGCTCACTTCTTCTAAAGGAAGAGATCTGAACAAATAAACCTTGTTTTAATCAATTCAGAATCTTTTAACTCTTACCCCCCACCAGTGGCGTATAGATACCCTTCTTGGACAGTACATTGTTTTCTACTGAAGGCATCAAAGCCTTCCTTCTATGCTGAATGGAAGGCCAGAATTCTCTGGAGGTGCTGCTAGCGTATTCTAGTTCTTTCCTGAAACAATAATCTTTCTGTCAGTTGTGTCCTGATCTTGCCATTGTCTTCTCCATCTCTTGTCTCCACTCTGGGGTCTCTCCCTGCTATTCATCCTCCTCTTTTGTTTTTATTTTTCTTCTGCGCTTTAATTCTCTCTCTCTCTCTCCCCCCCCTTTCCTGGCCAGGAGTGAGGACAGGGTGTGTGACTTGCATTCTTTTGACATGTGGGTGGTGAATATTTGAAAGGGCTAGCAAGAGCAGGAACAAATCTGAAGGTGTCTCCTTGACAACTGTCCTGACTGTTCCGATTAGAATTTGGCTGATAGGTACAATAACTTGGCATCCCATCTAAGCAATGCTGCTTGAAACTTAAACGTTCATAGAAGCCTTGAGGGAAATGCTACTTCTGTGTAAAATTACTTCCTACCTATGCACAGACTAGCCCTACTTTCCCTTCTCTCAGAAACAGCCAGACATGGGTTTGGAACACTGTAATTCGGCCCCACTGTAATCTGGCTGTTTCCCAACAATGTGTCTGGAATCTGAAGCCCCAGATTTCTGCAGCCCCTACCAACTGGTGAAGCAAATTTAACCTGCTGTAGCCTAATTTAGAATAGCTGGGGAACTCCTTGTGTGCATGGTGCGCCATACGATCCCCCTGTCCTTGCCCTGCCAAGATTATTTCAGCAGGCTTAGTAAGGAATTTAAATTTTCAGATATTTTAGGAAATCTCATGGATTCATTCCAGGGATAAATCAGTGGCATAAACTTAATACAGTTTAAGTTTCAAAGCCTAACTTGTCTTCAGTGAGCCTGTAGGCCAAACTTCACAATAACACTGAAATTCCATGATCACAACTCCAGGTTTGTAATTTGGCTCTAGAAGGCTTCAGGGGAACAAATCTGGATTGAGGCCATAATGCCGGGGAAGGTTTTTTTTGTTTTGTTTTTTAACTCTCCCCAGTGTGCTGTTTTTCCCTACTGAAAATACTTACTTCCCACTTTGCTCTAAGGCTTGGTAGGGAAAAAAAGAATGGCACAATATTACTGAGTTTTTAAGAATGCCCTAAGGAGGCGCTTTGGATTGGGGAAAATGTTAAAAGCACATGCCCCAGCACTGCAGCCCCACTCCCCTGGTTGCTTTTAGAATCTGAATTAAATGCTGAGAGTTCCAGTCATGGATCCCCAGCATCACATGTAGTTTGACCCTCTAACAAAAAAAATTCCCAGTGTCAGCTACTATGATGAGAGGAAAGAGGTCAGTAAATCTTGAGATGCATCCTCCAGCAGTCTGAAAACTTTACGTTGATGTTCCAGGGCAGAGGAGCTGTGACAAGGGGAGCATAGTAATCTTGAGATAACTCCACGTGATTAGCACTCAGGAAGGACCATGGTACAAATCTTAACAATTATAAAAACTTGGAAAATCTCATGGGTGTTATGTCATAACTGGGGCTGATTACATGCCTGCTTATAAATAAGCACTGTGGGAAACTTTTCTTCAAGCAGAGTAACCAATTTACGGTGTTAATCTACAGCCCATAGTGCTTCCTGAAGAATTAACACTATCCTCCATCCTTTCTCGTCCCCAAATGTGTTTGGAAGCAGTTACCTTCTGTCCCTTTCCCTTTTCTGCTTTATCTTAGAAGGAATCCCACGTTCCCAGTGCAAGGAGCCGTCCACCTCCCAGCCCTGTGTGCAAAGTTCTCTCTTATCAGCCCTTTGCATGTCTACACCACATTTCCTCTCTGTTTTATCAGATCACATGGAACAATTCAACCATTCAGAGGGTCAAGAGTTTTCCTTGCAGGTGTCTCCAAACGCCGTGTGTTTCATCTGCTTAATGTTAGGCTTAACTGAGTCTGCCAGATGGTTGCATAACTGATGAATAATCATTATGTTTGGAGTCTCTAGAATGTTGGCTCTCAAGTCCCATCTGTATGTTGCTAATGGCTACACTGGGAAAACCACCGGTAACACCATAGTCTCATGAGATGATAAGCTAATGGCTTTATTCTGCAGTCGTGGCAGGATTGGAAGATGTAGTAACCATACACCCTGAAGGACTGAGTCGCCAGCAAGATCAGTCAAAGAAGACTGAGCCATATTTTACATTTTATACCAAAATCCTGTAAGTCCCTTTTCAGTGACAATAGCACAATATCCTGTCCGTATGTACCAGAACAGTCTGCCTCTGTATAAGTGGTGGATGGGGAGTGGCCATTGTCCTGCTTCTTGCCCATCTAGCTCATCTGGACCGGTGGTCTGCAGCCTTTGGCTCTAGAGCCAGACGTGGCTCAGGACACAACCAAATGCCTCTTTGAAAAATAAAATGCAATCTTAAGGAATATTGGAAGGATGGGTGGAATGCTAGAATAACTAGTATGTGGAGGAAATGGCAGGCAAAGATTTTGATAGGGTGGCTCAGGCTAGCCTGATCTCATCAGATCTTGAAAACTAAGCAGGGTTGGCTCTGGTTAGTACTTGGATGGGAGACCACCGAGAAAGTCCAGGGTTGCTACACAGACGAAGGCCATGACAGACCACCTCTGAATGTCTCTTGCCTTGAAAACCCTACAGAGTCACCATAAGTCAGCTGCAACTTGACAGCAGTTTTCACTACCGAGGGATTCTTGGGGGTGCTTTATAGAAAGCTAAATAGTGGAGAACCATTGCCAGTGATACAGGTGCAAACCATGTGCAGATTTATGCCAGTGCACTAAAACAATTTTGTACGGTTCTCCCCTGTATATTTGTTACTTTTTGGGAGACCTTGTGCATGCTACTTTCTGATAGAGATCTTGCAGCAACCAGTTTTTGGGCTACAGAACTTTATGGATTGTTACTCAACATGTCAGTTATCAGTAATGTTTAAGTTGTATAGCTCTAGTTATGGAAAACTGGGTTATTTTATGCTGGTTCTTTGTTGATCTTGTGCTCTGAATTTTGACATGACTGTTTGTAAAATATTGTAGATCCCTGATCTGGAGAGATGGAAGGTCAAGTGCAGGAGAAGGAGTAGAGGGGCACAGTCCTAACAGATCATTCCACAGTATTCATAAACCAGCAAAGCATTGCTGGATAGTTTTGCAGGTCTTGGCCACAGATGTCTAGAAAGCTAGTGTGGTTTAAGTGTTCTGTTAGACTAGGACTGTGGAGACCTAGGTTCAAATTACAAATCAGCCCTGATGCTCATTGGGTGTCCTTGGTCCAGTCACTCTTCCTCAGCCCAGCTTTCCTCACAGGGTTGTTGCGAGGATAACATGGAGGAAAGGAGAATCACTTATGTCATCCTGAGC